GGTGAATTGGACTGAATTTCGTCCTTTTATTTAGTTTGGGAAACCAAAGTAGGCTCCCAGTGTCCTGGCGCGAAAAACAGATTTTTGACCATGGATACACATTCTAGGGTCGTCTCGACCAATCACAAGCCGAGTTTCACAATGTGTGGTGTTGATTGGTCAAAGCTAATTCTTATAGAAGAGTCTACTTTTAACGAAGGTGAGTAGACAAACATTGACGATTCTATAACTTCAAACAAAGATTTTATCCACTGTGCACGTGAAACTAGAATGTCATAGCACGTGGAACTAAAACAATCAGCACATATGCTAGGCCAGAAAAATCTCCTGAGCCGGACAAGCATAGAAATGAATAAAATAAGGGAAACAGAATTACGGAGTGCAAGATAATAACAACAAAATTGCAATATGAGTTCTGGTAAAAAAATAATTACTGAGACATTAGGTCCCAAAATTTCATACACTAATCTCCTCAAGTGGATAAAAGCGGATAAAAGCGTTGGTTGGATTTAGTGACTTCATCCAAACAGTTGAGAGTTCAATACCTAACTACTGCAGTCGTGAACAAAAAACATGGAAAGTTAAAGGCGGGGGATAACTGAGACATCCGGAAGATGCAGGCAAGTGGATAACAATCTACCCCCGGTGGACGAATAAAGGGTTCGGTTCGAAATTCCAATCACCTGAAGAAGGCCGAGGTGTACAACAGCCGAAATGTCGTGGATATGGCAACAAAGATGAAGACAGCAGTCCGAACATTGTAAATAGTGTTCTTTTAATGTTTGTTTTGTTTTACTTTCCTTTGTTTTTTACATTTTTCTTTTCTTTTTCTTTTGTCCAGATGCCTAGTATAGTTCACTCTTCACTATGCAGATAAGTACGAGTAAACCTTCTTGGCAACAAAGCAAGGATCATTTAGACGAATTTTTATAATGCAAAATAATACTGAAGAAGATATATACAATCAAGAAAGTATATTTTTATTTTCATTTTTTTTATATTTTATTATTTTCTTTCTAATATGAAAATTCACCATTTCTGTGGCTGTTATCGCCTCAACCTGTCATTTAGCATTTCTGTGCCAGCCATCGCCTCAAACTGTTATTAATGGATTGAAAAGCTTTAATAAATGCTTATTCTATAATAATAAATACTTATCCCATAATATAATGCAAGTTATGAAAGAGTTACCTCCCATCGACATTCGTCGTCGTCGTCGTCGTCGTCGTTATCATCGTCTTTTTTAAAATAGCAAGAAACGAAATTTAAAGAAGTTTTAACTTTCGGTAACGAGCTTCTCTTTTCTTATATTGCTTCAAGATAAATGCTGAAAATTTGTTTCTAAAAACGACATCGATAACACCATCTTTATGAAGAAAAGTGCAATATTTCTTCGACCAAGATTTACGATAATGATTTACCAAACCGATTTCCGTTTCAACATTTATTTGGGTAGGATATTTAAGGCTTTTGAAATTTACTATTCAGTAATGGTTGAAGACAGATAAGCACATCCGGGGATTAACTATCGACTTAACACTATCGTAAAATTTATTTCTTTTAATATAGCGGTTGATATTAAGTTCGCCTGACGAGTTAGTGCCGCAAGTTGTAAGGAAGAAACCCATTTGGAAAGAATACACAGGGAACGGTTTTTTGCTTTTATGCACCTGGTCGACTTCTTTAATGAGAGTTTCGTAATCAATGGCATTCTTTCTAGGGGAGATAACCTCGTCAAAATCTAGTGGTATGATGTATTCAGCCGAATATATTTGCCGCATCATACAGTCGTTAAAAGATGCCGGACTACTCAACATCTGATTCGCCCAGGTCGTTTCCGGAAGCGGCGAAGGCGTCATTGACACGCGCATCAGCCCTTCAGATTCTAACTGTCGAAATATTTTCAAATTATTCTTAGAGATATTGCAAGGATACACGCTGAACATTGTTACTCCCATAAGTCTATTTGCTTCAACCCATTCAATAATTTGTTTTGGTGATATATGACCGTACCCGGTTTCGACACACACAGAAAATTTATGTTTACGTTTTCTTTCCGGTATGTGGATAGCCAGTAAGTTAGACTGCAGTAAACATTTATTGAAAGTCAGTGAGACAAAGTTCGGTCGAGCCGTCATCTTCTTTATCTCGCAGCTGAAAAAGAATTGATTGTAAAACAATCCATCGCAACGATGACCACCACCATGCTTTGTTGCAGAACAAGTAGTTATTGCTGTGTTCCATATAGACTTCTCGCTCCAAAGGACGGCGTAAGCGGTCTGATTTGTGAACGATCCGACTGCCAGAATTTGGATAAATATTTTCCCGTTATGCATGGGCCGGTCGTCATAATAACCTCCGTAAAGGTAAATTCTTTCGTGGTAAGGTGTTGTCAGGTTTTGCCAAATCTTTTTGTGAAATTTGTATTTTATACTTTTAATGTTAAATGTCTTTGTGCAAGGCGTAGGTACATGTTTCAAACGAACTGGAACAGGTTTTTTACGCTGAAGACGCCATTGTTGAATGAAGACGATAGTTAAGCCGGACAGGGCCAGTAACAGCAGGCCAAATGTCGTCCGTTTCATCATTATTCTGAAAAGAAAATGTATAAAATTATAATGAATGTTTTGAATCGAAAAAACGTTTTAGTGCCCTAAAGGGCACGCTTCCAGAGCTTGAATGACTAACACGATTTAACATCTGTGAAGTTGGGTACAATGGCAGCAAAGAAGATCCTAATAACAAATGGTATAAAAAAAGGTGTTAGGTTGTTAATTTAAAACATCTCCCTACCTGAAGGAACTCCGAAACAAGAAGACATACGAAGTAATAAAAAGGAAAATTAAAAGAACGGTGCCAAAATACGCTTACAATTTTTATTAAATGTAACAATATAAAATAATATAACATAAACATGGGACTTATAATCAATGAGATTTTAGTGTCCTTACCTCAATTTAAAAATATTTTATTTGTGATCTAATTCCATTGGTTAAAAAAGATTTCAATACATTTCCTATATGTAACAGCACTGAGATCGACAGAAATCTGTGCAAAAAGCGGATCACTGAGTCTTGATATTTCTCGGAATGTTTCTTCTTCGCAGCCTATATAGCAACTGACGCGGCCGATGCATCTTGCATCTAGGCGTAATAAATAGTAACTAACATTCGACACTCTATGAAGTGGTGTTGCCCACCGGCCGTCTTGTGATTATCGTGACTTCGTCTCAACCAAAGAGAGACTCTTTCTTAGTCAATCAATCTTAATATCATGTTTTCAACTACGTCCGAATTGTATCCACCTAGTTTCTGACCTGAACGAAAATTTTTTCCGCCAAGAATCTGTCTATGTATTTCGAGCCTATTACGTGACTTGATAATAAATAAATACGTGCGACATTTTACACTCTTTCTCTTTGCCTTCTCTCACACACACAAGATGTAACGTTAGAGAGATTTCGTTTGACCCCTTTGTGGCAGACACTATGACACACTCGTGCACACACGTGCGTAGGAACATTACATATCACTTAACTCATCTCATTCTTCAGCTACAAGCAACAAACATTTTCAACTCTTTTCGGTGAACAACTTAAGAGGCAAGTTACTTCAACTTATTTATGCTAAATTTTATTCAAAAGTTTAAAAACTAAAAATTACATTTTAGTACAAAACAACTTCTTGATATTTCAAGTGAAGACGAAAATTTTCTCTCACTCAACAAATTTCTTTGAACTCCTCTATTCAGCCTGCAACACCTTACCAAATTACATTATTTCCATTGAAACTTACTATTATTTCATGAACTGAAATCTTTTCTGTGAGTCCAGATAAAAAAAATAGACCTTACTTAAAGTCTCATCTAATTCATTCAACAGTTAAAGGGAAATAACTCCTGCTGTATTACTACAACTCTTACTACATAAAAATCACACACTTGACTGCTTTTGTATTTCATACAGTAAAATGAAGATTGTTTGTTATAAGAGCAGTTTTGTGTTGTTTCTCTTGCTTGCTTTTCGTTTGCTTACACATTTGTAAAGTAAAAAATGTGCGGGTTGATTTAGGCCGTCAATACCGCTACAAGATCACTACAAAATAACTACCTTTGAGCTGAGAAGATGTGAGTTGGTCAATTACCATCTATATCTTTGTTCCTGTTACCTTTTGAGATAAGGTGAGGTGAGGTAGTCAACTACCATCTATGAATATCTTACGTGCTAATAACCTTGAGAAAGGTATGAATCCTCTTCTTCACGCCTCAGCTAGAGGCAAAGAGCAGGACAGACTGGGTTCTCTAGCCTCGAATGGCAACTGGTCTACCTCAGAATGAAATGGTAACCTACTGTGGGAAAAAAAATCTGCCTCTTAAGTCATGATCGCCTAAGTGTGTATTACGCATGGCACATAACTGAAAATGAGAATAGCTTAGTCTAGAGTATAGTCATGAACAGGGAGTGTTCAGTGATGGTTTGATCCACTAGAATTGTAAAGATCGGTGAGACTCTAGACGGTGAGACTGGTTTATGGTGAGGCAACCATTTTATCATCGAATATCAAACTTACTTCAGCAGTCGTGGAAGATGAGACTAGCGTGCTAAGCACAAATTAACGCCTACAATGCAGCTTCTTAATTGTTTTAATAATCATTAAATAAATTTAGCCTAGTCTGGGACATGGCCAGAAAGGAAGAAATATGTAGAAAGATTATGTTACAGCCTGTTTTGTAATTCATTTTTCGAAATGCTATTCTTAACCTTGGGAAATACGCGCCTATCTCAACCACAAAGTAAGTTCTTCAAGAGGGCAATATATAGACTTTTAGTTGTTTTTTTTTAAGATAATAATGGTTTAGTGATACAAATTTTACTAATTAACCCATAGCTGGGGGGAAGAATATGTGGAATCATAGCATTCCCAAGGATATTTGTGGTTAAATTGATATAAATCGATAAAGAATTTCGAGTCTTTATCCATTATACCACCCGCACGTCCAAGCTTACAGCATCTCGTATTCTCAAACGGTGACTCATCTAGATATTGGCCAGGCTCGACGTTGCTTAACTTCGGGGATCGTACGGGAACCGGTGTTTCAACGGTGAATAAAATTATTATTATTTCTGTGCCCTCAGTTTTATTGGCAAAATTTCTGATAGACTCACTGAAAGTATCCTTGGAAGACCAGGCCTTAAAGAAATACAAAAAAAAAAAATGTTATCACAAGTACAGCTTACACCGTACGAAGGGCTGTATCTATGTAAAATGTGTGGGATTATAATCCAATTATTATGATCCAAGTTCTCCCCAAGGACACATGGCACAGTGGATAAAGGCGTTAGTTAGATCCAGTGACAAGACCCAAAGAGTGTGAGTTCAATGCCCGGTTAAGGCAGTGGCGATCTTCCAGAGGGGAATTTATTGCATGTCGTTGGCAAGGATGTCTGGTACGGCAGGAACTGGAGATGGCTGGAGCGACGGCCGATGGCAAGTTGGAGATGATGACGACTGGCTAGCTGAATTCTGTCAATACCTCATAAATAATGGACTATTTCGTTTTGATCGCGTGGAAAGAGGGAAAAAGACGCTACTTGGTTTCAGTAAAATGAAAGAAGGGAAGATAGAAATATTTAATGTGTCCTGCTAATAACATAAATTTGTATTTACTCACATCCCCACTAGGTCAGGTTGTAATACAAGGTCGGTTTAAGGTAGGGATCCTGAGCGCGTACACCCGGGCTAGGAAAAAAAATTTCCCGAGACCCCGCAACTGTCGGTTGTGCTGGCCACAGTGCGAGCGCCGATCTTTCTCTCTAGTGCAATGAGAGAGCGCGGCCTCGGGCAGATTTTTCCCAGGTTCTGAACCTCAGTATAATTTTCCTCAGTTGCGACTCTGGCGTTTGACGGAGCCGCCCCATAAATATTGATCTATTCTGTGATATGTGTTTAATGGCTGTTTCAGTGAAATGGGAAAAGAAGCAGTCGATTTCAAATCTTTTCATTTGTACCCACTTCTTAAAATAACCATCAGTATTTATAGTTATGTTTATTACTGAAAATTTTGTTAAAAGTTGTTAAGCTCAAATATTTAACAATGGGGTTCTACTGATATTTTATTATCGTAAACCTCGCCACGAGATAATTCACTCGTTAACTTAAGAATTAAGATTCATCAGAATATTAAAATAGAAAAACTGTGACATTTTCACCGGTTTAAACTAGTAACTCTAATATTCAAATACAGATAAATCAATGTAACGCAATACTAACTTGATGACCACTAGCTGTTTGATTGATTCGTTTCCACTGCTTATCTAACCTTTGCAGGTTATTTAAAGCTAGGAAATATTTTTAGATTGTAAGATCTTTTTGAAATAATAATAATGATTTTATTAATACAAGTTTTATTGATTAACCCATAACTGGGGGAGAAGAGGTGAGTTCATGCCTTTCCCAGCGATATTTGCGCGTAAGTGAATATAACGAACTCAACTGGATTTGGATCTCAGCTCTCCAATTAACAATTCCACCCCATTATCCATTACACCACCCGCACATTCAAGCTTACAGCACCCGGTATTCCCAAGCGGTCACTCATCTAGGTAGTGACCAGAATCGACGTTGCTTAACTTCAGCGATTTTACGAGAACCAGTGATTCAACGTGATGTGGCCGTAAACCGTCAGCACTTGCACAATGTGGCCAGAATTAATCTTTTCAGTTTTTTTTTTTTTATAGGAGCACTCCAGATCACAGAACAATGAAAAAAAATTAAATTTTATAAAAAACTAGCAGTAGAGCCCGGCGTTGCCCGGGGATGTAACAATAAGAGATAGATCAAGCATCGACCATCATAAAGACTGCAAAATTAAATTGACAAAGATTATTGTCTAAGGTTAACGGACACACATGTCTTAATTAGTTTTTTTTTTTTTTTTACGAATTGGTCAAACCCAAACTCAAACAAAAACATTGTATTCAGTCGTTATGAGTCTACCGATTGAATAGAATTTTATTATAAACAATTGTCTTGTAAATGGAATTTTTAAAGCATTCTGATTGCAAAAATAAAGAAAAAAGTGTGCAAGACAATAAGAAACACTACCTGCCAAAAAAAGGGAAGTTTTGTTGAAATCGGTTGAAAAATGTAGGAAATCCGATCCCATATATAAACGAACACAAACACAACCAACCTGGGTTTTATAATAAGTATAACTCGATATGAGTTGTCCCCCTTTCATTCTCGTGATGCCTCTTAATCGTGTTTTCAAATTGATTTCGTGCAAAAACAATTGTGTTTTTCTAATTTTTGGCGCTGTTAGAACCACCGCAAGGTAATTTTACGTAGTCCTGTGAAGTTTTGTTTAAATCGGTTGAAAAATGTAGGAAATCCGATCCAATATATAAACGCGCACACACAAATAAACAAATTAACAAGCTACGAATGCGCAAATGTAATAATAATCAACAACAAATAATTAAATAATCAATAATAAATAACTAGTAAAAGTTAACAACATTATAAAATAGCTACAAATAACCACTTTCGGATCCAAAATTATTCCCACTCATAGCCTATAAAATTTTAAACATAATCGTTATCGCCTACCTAATAACCATTAATATAATACAATAGACTTTACTACTTTTGCTACATATAATAAGTTAAGCGTTCGAGCATGAAACGAAATGTCGTCACGTGATGTGGACCTCAACGTCCATTTCAATCTATAGGCCACCCCATCACACACAGCTAGCTAGCTAGCTAGATAGATAGAGTGAGTGAATGACTGAGCATACGAAAAAGGTGTCCAAACCTTCATTAAAAACTAAGTTTTATCGTCAAAATGTTTTGGCTATTATTAAGAGGAAAGGATTTTTTGTAATTTTTTAAAAACTATTTTAGAACCTTCAATATGTAGGTTAAAAATCTTGTTTTTCTGGCATAAACGTGCAACAATACATTTGTATGGGGAATTTTAACGCTTTTTGCGGTGAAAAACACATTGAATTGAAAATTCTTGCAAAAATCAGGTAATTGTTGGATTTTTATGAAACTTTCAGGACTTATTCAAAAATGAACGAAATTATTTTTTTTTATGTTTTTTTAGAAAAACTTGGTGATAATATTTTCTTTATTTCTGTTACTCCCCACTTATTTAATTTTTAGGAAATTTCCAGAAATTCTTTTGGTCAAACTGGACACCAAATTACAGAAAATCTACTCTGAATCGTAAAATGTAATAAAACTAAGACATCATTTAATTAGAAATGCTTTTAATTAATTTTATGAATAAAATATACTATGGACACTATTGTCTTAAGAAAAAATTCCATGAATAATGAAATTTTTCAAAATTTGATTTCATTTTTTATTTCAATTAGAATAATATATAAGTATTTAAATCTTTTAAAATTTTGTATTAATTTGTAGGAGTCAAGTGATATGGTTATTAAATAAAAATTGTATTTACTAATCATAAATGGAAAAGCTCACTACAATTCAGCGACCCCAGTATTAAAAAAAAAAATGACTCTGTGTGTGTGTGTGTGTGTATATATAAACATGCCAACTTTTAAAATATGGACGCCCATACACGACATCATCACCGGTAACTATAGTAATTTTAAAATTTATTAGTAATTTTTTAACATTTCTTAAACAAGTTCTTCATAAATAAAAAATAAATATATAAAGCTAAAATATTTTTAAAATTCAATAAAATATTACAATGCTTAAAATATTTTATTTTTTAAGATGACTGGATAGTTGAAAAATTATATAAAAAAGGGCGGTTTCGTTGTATTAGTCATATAATTGTATTACAATAATCCACCCTTTACATAAATTGACCAAATATCAGGCTGTCGATAACTGTGTAAATACCTCATAAAAAACACAATGTCTCTGCGTTAAAAAAATGCTTTTCTGCGATATTTTTTTTAACTAAAAGTAATATTTGTTTCAATTCCGATTAATTAAACTTTAAATCAGCTAATTTAATCAAACAACTTTTCAGAAAAGTATATTTTAACGCAGAGGATTAAATAAAGAGGATTCTTTTGTGTTGACAGATTTGTCAATATGGACGATTTAATTGATTTTACTGAGAATCAGAAAAAGAATTATTCCAATCATTTTAAATTCGGTTTCAAATACAGTAAAGTATTTTGCTGATTTGAAACATTAAATTTAATCTATTAGCTTGGAATTAAAACTAAAATAAAAGATTAAATAAATACTCGTCATTTTTAAAATGCATTTGAAACTTTAGACATCGTTTCTTTTTTGGAGGTACCTAATACGCACCTATCCTTCACTAATTAATACAATTTTGGTTAAAAATTCTTCACAAGGATTTTCATAATTCACTTCTTTTATTGTGTATAACAAACCTTTGTTTGGATTCAATGTACAGTGGTTAACTATCAGTACACATCATTTAGTTATATGTTCTCCTGTTACTACCAGAAAGCTAAAAACGATTTTTTTGGGTGTCATAATTTAAAAAAAAAAAAAGATTTCATAAAATCATTGTAAATATTTCTGTCTTGAATTTATATCCATTCCCCTGAATCCATAATACCTATAAACGCCATCTTCCGACACAGGTACAAAAAATAAGTCGTCCTTACCGCTTCTGATTTGTCAAACCTATTAACGAATATTTGACCCTTTAAAAAATCTAGTTTTTCTCTATTCGAATCATGTGTAATTACCTTGGCGAATGAAAATTGGAGAAAGGTCATGTTTCAGGGAATTTTATTGAGATGTCTAGAGTCTAAAAAAAACCTTGTAGTTGGTTTGTTAAAAAAAATAGCATCAGGGAATGATCAGAGTTACTTTAAAAAACATTCATAAATTTATAAAATGAAATGTATATCAACAAATATATTTCTTTATGAATAATTCCCTATAATTAAGGAAATCTTACTGAAACAGATTTTATCTATTTATCTATCTATCTATCTATCTATCTATCTATCTATCTATCTTTCTATCTATTAGAGTCTATTTATCTATTATCTATCTATCTATCTATCTATCTATCTATCTATCTATCCATTGTATCTATCTATCTTTCTATCTATCTATCTATCTATCATATCTATCTATCTATCTATTGATATATATATATATATATATATATATATATATATTACGGTTCAATAGCTATCTATCTATCTATTACGGTTAATTATGTTTTTTTTTTTCATTATGCTTTTTTTTGTTTGTTTGTTTTTTAATCGAAATCACCCCAAAGCAAGGCAGTAATGTCACTAAAACACAAGGGGTTACTTTGTGGAAGAATTAAGAACAGAAACATTAATGATGAGCAGTAAGAGAAAAGAGTAACCAGGTGGACAATAGATAGAGATTGCATTTAAATTTTTACAGATTGAAGTTGGTTGAAAAACATGGAGCCGGAAGGGATTTCCACAAGAGAGAAGTGCAGAGAGGAAACTGTTAGCATTGAATTTACGGTCACATCTAGCTTGCTCAACACTAAACTGATGAAAATTGAAACCGCCCTTCGGGTACACACATTATTTGCCCACACATTTAATACTAATAATCAGCAGTGAATAATGAATAAATACAAAATAGCCTAAAGTAATCGATAATGAATAAATAATGAAATAAAAGTAAATATCAGTTCTGTAAAAATTTGGTTCTCCGAAGAAATAAGCCATCTTTATCTCTTCGGATTTGTCAAACCTATTAATGAATATATATATATATATATATATATATATATATATATATATATATATATATATATATATATTAAAACATATACCCAGCACTGGATATAAATATATACTAGTAATAAGCTATATAAAAAAAAAGTGGTTACGTTGTATTAGTCATGTTATTTTATATATTTTTACAATTATGTAATAATTTTTTAATTGAAGAAATGTCTACCCAAAACAAATCTTTTATATATATATATATATATATATATATATATATATATATATATATATATTCATATAAAATCGATATATCGTTCTATCTATCTATCTCTTCTCTCTCTCTCTCTCTCTCTCTATATATATATATATATATATATATATATATATATATATATATATATCTGTATGTTCATATCTATCTGTCTATTTATTTATCACGGTTCATTATCTATCCATCTATCTACACTTTCTTCTTCAATGACATTTAAGAACAAAAATAAATTTGTAATTTCACTGATTTTTTTCAATCCTATTACTTTGCAATGAAATGAAAATATTTATGATAGATAGATAGATAGATAGATAGATAGATAGATAGAACGTGATAATTTCGAACAAATGTCGATTACCAAAAAATGAGCAAGATATTTAGATACCAACACTGAAGGGTAGTTAACATTATGTTGTATGTTCTGTGTAAATACGAAATAAATAAAAAATATAGTACATTTATGTTGTCAACAGTTTTGTTGTGATTTTCTTGAAAATGAAAAAGAAAGGTTTTTTTTTACATACCTTTGCATTTGGTAACTATAAATCCTGCCCAAAATGATTATTTTTTTTTATAGTAATGAAGAAGTAAAACTATAATGTTTAGAACACTATTCGTTGACACTCAACGAACTTGACACATTGGCAATAATGAAAACTGCTAAGTGATATGACTAGGCAAGCATAGATTTTACCTTACAAAAATAATGTACAACAGAAACAATTTAAGTAAACCATAGCGTAACGTTTTTGTTGTTAAGAATAAAAAAAAACATCCATATGTGACATTATTTAGCTATGCTAATTGGCTAAATTAATTAAGCGTGGAAATTAAAAGCGAGAAATACTTAAAGCGAGAAGAAGCTATCACGAAAGACATACTGAGCGATGTTATTTTTTTTTTAACAAAAGAAAACTTGGGTAAAGATTTTATTTTCATTTGCGAAGAAAAGTATTTTTTTTGCAGAAGATAGAAAATTCGTAAGATCTCGGATCTGTCAGAATTAATTTATGCCATGACGCGGCGAGGAAGGGCAGATAGCATGTGACCGGGAAGGAGTAGGCTGAGATCACCCCAAAGAAAATGGAAGGAAGATGAGAAAAAGGAAAAGAATAAGCCATTAACTGTCTTTCGGAGATATTTGATTTTGGAAGGGAACCACATGTTTTATCTCCAGAACTGATCATGATAAAAGTTTGTTACCTGGACAGACTGTTGGCGACAGATGTGAAGATGTTGAGGAAGACAAAGAGAATTCAGTTGACCACCCAGATAATAACTTTTCTTAAACTTGTCCTGTTGATGACTCCCAGATGACATCAAGTTAAGATAGAGATTTAATACCACAGTACGATTTGTGGGAATTTAGTCGGTGAAAAAAAAAAAAAGTAAAAGGAAGATAAATTTTTCTTTGAGCGATAATTGTAAACTGAGGCCATTATATATACACCCGCACTATATATAAAGCGTTCATTATATGATATATGGCGTGAGCGATGGGCGGATTGATGTGAGTTTGTGACCCTGGGTTTCACGCTTTTGCGATCGTCAGACAAACTGATTAATTTTTTAAAATTTTGGGTTTATGTAGATTGCGTGTATTGGTGTTATTATGGAAGTGGGGGGGGACATCATCGTGATGTCATCGTGGTAACGCATACATCGATGTATGTTCATACGCCCAATGAAGTACGCAGACACACATACACACTTGGTCGTCCGTCGGGACTCATACATATATAAACATATGTGGACAGTTTCGGATTTGACATATGTATGTATACGGGTGGTATTGTGTCTATACATACGCATTTGTATGTTGAAATTCAAAGATTGGAAGTGTAGCGAAAATTTCTCGTGAATGTCTCATGTATACATGTCATTTTTATTTTTTCCAGTGAATAATATTTCCTCGCATGTAAGATATAACGTGGTGGGGTTTTGTAAAATTATGATAGGAAAAATTAATTATTATTTTTTTAATTTTAATTTTTGAAAAAAAAAGTTTATTTGTTATATTTTAAAGCTAGTTATTTGTTTGTTTTTGATGACTGTGTATTTGTAACTGGTAGAAATTTCGTTTGAATCCTTTATTGGTTATTTTATATGGTGATATTTCGCAATATGTGTGTTTATATTAATAATTATAGCGGGTCTATATGATAATAGTAGATGTGAAGTGATAGTAATTTGTAATTTGGAGACAATGATAAAAGTAATTTATATTTTTGTTATAGTTACATACTAATAGTTATATAATATATATTATTGTTATTATATTTATATATATATATATATATATATATATATATATATATATATATATATATATATATATATATATATATCTATATTATTTTATGTTTACTATTTTGAGATATACTTTCTTCCAGGCCTAAATTAAGTATCCGACATGTTCCGAGTGTTTTACTTTTAGTAAGTCCCAACTTTGAACCCCACATTTTAAATGGCGACGAGTTTTATTTTGTGGTCCCAACTTTGACGAGATTCGAGAAACGCACTCACGGCGAAACATTTCAAACCATACCAATCCCACATCTGGGTCGACGAAGAATTCGAGAAACGCATTCACGTCGAAAAACTGCAATACCTTGCCAGTCCCACAACAGTGGCGGCAGAAAAGATTCGAGAATTTCGTTCTCCCCATATCAATAGCGACAGTACTCGAAAAATACACAGAAACTCCACGCGTTCCCACAGTAGTGTTGAACGTGAAATTAAGCTGGTATTACTACATTAGCGATTTAAAAAGCTAAACACCCAGCGTCTACATATATTCCAATACCAAACATCAGTGACGAGCAGTGATTCGACATCTACGGAATATTAAAGTCTGTCCAAAATACGAGAACGATTTCTACACACCCACACACACAGAAAAAAAAAACAGTTTGTCTTAAAACAAACTGATAATACAAAAGCAACTACTAAAATTGTACTCAAGTTTTCGAAAAAACTATCTAAAATTTTTTTTTTATGTAACTGAGTTGAACTCGTGCCTTGTGTGTGTGTGTGTCTGTGTCTTCATCTGGTGCTGTCCAGTCGTCACTTCCCACCCTTAACAGAGTTTAAAAACAACTACTCGGCCTTGTGGGTGATGGAATATTTTCCACCTTCAACCCTTAGCCTACAAACGAAACCTTGCTAGTTTCTCACTGTTCATCGCTAGTATTATGGAAAATGTTCAAACGAGCTTCATTCCTTAGTTACACCAGTTCGTTCCTTCACAGCTAGGACCTGCCATGCCGCATACACAGCGTCAAATCATCCCCATTCCTTTCGTATTTCTTTAGTAAGGAAGAAGTTCAAATCAGACAGTTTTTTTCTCCAGAACCTTTACTTTCTGGAACAGACTCCCGAAAGTTTTCTAGTCAAAGGGCAACCAATATTTACCCTACATAATCCTCATACTCTGCCCCCTCACTTATGCCCTCACAACAATCTCACTAAGTAACCCTCTACCTTAAGTGGCTCTTATATTGGGTGAGCTTAAACAAAAATAAAAATAACGAATACAACATAAACTAATTAAAGCCTTCGTCTATGCCGAATGAAGGTTTATAACTCTAATCTTAGAATTTACAACATTTACATTTTTATATAACTTTACTAGACCAAGTATTAGTATTATTAGTAGTAGCAGTGTCAGATAGATAGATATAATTCGATGTATGCATGTATGTATGTATGCATTTCTTAGGTAATTTTTAGGGGCTTACGGTCATATCACGTCGAAACACCGATTCCTGTACGATCAACTAAGTTAAGCAACATTGAGCCTGGTCAGTACCTAGATAGGTGACTGCTTGGGAATACCAGATGCTGTAAGCTTGGATGGTGAAATGGATAATGGTTCAGAATTATTAATCACATTACCGAGTTCCAATTCCAGTCGAGTTCATTAAATTCACTTACGCGCAAATAATCTTAGGAAAGGCATGAATCCACCTCTTCTCCTCCCAGCTATGGATTAATTAGTAAGACCTGTATCGCTAATCATTATTATCTCTAAAAAAATTCTTAAAAATCTAAAAATATTTTCTAGCTTTAAATAACCTACAAAAGGTTGATAAGCCGTAGAAAATAGATCAACTGAATCAATTCGTATATTTAGCGTGTGAAAGTGTTTGAGTAGACTTCCCTTCCCTTTTTTTTATTTTGTTGTAGTTTTTTGTGGGTGTGGGGATAGTACAAATCTATGTCTGCAGGCGTGTGCATTCAAGAGTCTTAAAGAAATTGTAACCTCCGGCAGTTTTTTTATCATTTCATGTCAAGCAAGGCAATAAAGCCACTATGGCGCAAAGGGATTACTGAGTATACGATAATATGAGAAAAAAGCATTATTAAAGAGAGAGAAAATAAAAAAAAAAACAAGAAGACAGCGATTGACATTGCATTGTAGTAAGATTAGGTAATAATAACACCATACGAAAATATACACTTTCCTCTTTACTAAGTGAGTGACAGAGAAAATTCTCTGTCCCTCTCTTCTATATATTTCCTTTCCTTTCCTTCCTTCTATTGTTCCTATCCTCGGTAATGGACATGGACCCGGACTTAGTTTATGTGGGTCAGTGAACGTCATTAAAATCAACCAATGACAACACGTCCCGCCAAAAATCAAACGGGAAACACAGATGTGTCAGCTCCAATAAAAAGAAGAAAACCACGCACGAGACTAGAGGAGCTTGATTCGAGGTAGCAGTTCGCGACGCCAGGGTTGGTGATTCATCGGCTGTGAGTCTGACCTGACAACTCCAGAAGAGAAAGAAGAAGAAAGGATGAATGTAACGAATTAATTTCCATCAACCAAAAGGAAGACAACAACCTTTTATGAACTCTCAAATCACAAAAAAGAACTAATGAAAATAATCAACCTAATGGAGTCAACAATAAATAGTACTATAGACAGTAAATTTGTCCTTTACTTCATCTCTATATACCATAACATTTAAATTTTTGAAAATCAAAGTTGACTGGAAAGCAAGAAGCCGGAAGAGAGTTCTTTTGTGAAACTCTTCTTCCAGCTTCTTTGAATCTATGTGTATGTGTAAATACTCATGTATTTATTTCTGATTGAAGGAAGTAGAAACTGATTTTAAATGCTTTGTACGCCGCTGATCAGGGTCGGTGCGTACTACCCCCGAACACCCCCACCGGGAGCATAAGCCTGATTGAGGGTCCCAGGCAGTACTTTGTAGCCCTTGCTATCCTATCAGCATTTTCTTCTTCTTTTTTTGTCTACCTACATTTATGTACATTACTAAGCACAACTCTGTATTAAAGGGTGAAAACTTTTCACGTCTTTTGATGTCATTCTGGGGTTCTTTTGTTTTCGTCCAAATCCGTGAATTTGTTTGGTTCATGCTAAGTCTCGAAAAAAACACGATATAAAATTCAATATTTTTTATCCATAATGTTTAATATGTTAAAATTATTCAACTTTTTAACCAGAAAAATCTCAAGTGGATGTTAAAATTGCTGCAAAACATTGTTGATTTATTTAAGATGGTATGATCTATTATTGCATGTCTCTAATTTTCATTTAGATACATTATTTGCATTTTTAATTTTTTTCTAATTGAATTTTTCACCGATATTGCATATGATCCATTATTGTACATAATTAGTGTACAATAAAATTTGTATCTTATATGAATACTACCTTATGTAAATTAAGATGTAGTAGAGTAGGAACGTATCATACATTCTGGGGAAGGGGCGTATCATAGATTTGTGGGGGCACGAGACCCTTGTACCGGCCCCGTATCTGATTATTCCTCACATTCTCTAATATTCTTCAAAACAAATCTCTTAGACATATATTAAATTTTTAAGATGTCTTTAAGGAGTTTTAATTGTTTTTTTATTGCCATCCATTGAATTTTTAACCGAACTAGGCGAAAGTGATTCTGATTTCAATTTTGTTTTAAAATGTCTAAAAATCTTATTTAAATACATAAAATTGTTTCTCTTTTTGTAGATTAATTTTTGGGTATTATCTTTTAAACAAAACCAAAATTTAACTTCAAAGGAAAAAATTGTGAACATTTTCAGTGCTAAGGAATGCGTGTGTACAGGTTTTGTTACCGGAGTTTTATATAAGGAATCTGATAATTATAATTGTATGTACACAGATGAATGAAAAGTAAGAAAAAATATTTAAGACTCTGTTGTTAGAGATGCCTGTGAGTGTGTGTGTGTGTGTGTGTGTGTGTGTGAGAGAGAGAGAGAGAGAGAGAGAGAGAAAATGAGAAAGAGCGAAAATCTAATAAGTAGCCATCCGGGGTAAAGAAATTTTCTCCAGCGGGAACAAGGCTCGTATTGATGCTGTTACATTTCGTAGCAAAAGAGAGAAGAAAAAAAGCATATGTCCGCTCTTTTATAGTCCCGAAACAGCGACACCTAACGGACGTCATAGAAAACTAGGTGAAAGGAATCCTCGCAATGCGTTTTTTTTTTCTTTCAGCATTCTTGGAAGCACTTATCCACCTCTATAATCTTACCGCATTTATCTTATCAATTTATTATCATCGGTCATTAAATAAAGGAACGACTAGGGGAAAATCGGGGTACATTTTCTACTTAGCAACACAAATAACCTTATATAAATAAATGATTTCATTTAACTGTAACTTCGCTGAGTTAGTTAAATATATGTCGAACTGACCTGGGCTTTGTAAAATATGATGTAGTTCGTGATGAAAAGATGTGGACGATGTTCATCTTTCAACAATTTCATGTCATGCAGCCCAGCTTCTGATTCTATATATTTCTTCCTGGATTTCAATCTGTAGTTCGAACACAGTTCAGAACAACGATTGGACTGTAACGTTCAATCTGTGCATTATCCATTGAAACGAGTTTCAATGAACAACGATGCATTCGCATTTGTTAATTTTTTTTCAGAACCCAGTTCCCATTTAAAGTTAGTTGTTCAGTGCATTTTTCTGATTTTTAGAAGACGTTTGCTTTTTAAGTAACACATAACAATTGCCACATAAATTTTGGTCTGGGAGGTTATTATGTTTACAAAGTTTAGGGTTGTGCTGTTCACATATCTACTATTGTAAACGCCCCGGTAGGGAAATGACGAAATAGCGGAGCAATTTTTGTCCTTAGTTGCATGTTTCAATTTTGAAGTACAAATGAAATGAGAAAGATGCTATTACGAGGTCGAAAAATGATGAAGAAATATGGCGGCTTCTTGTTGTTGTTGTTGTTGAAATCATAAGAAAGTTTTGTTTTCTTTTAATAGAAGGAGCGATATATTGACAAAAAATAAAAAGAGTTAATGAATAAACCCCGTGGGAATAATAAGATTTTAATTCTCATGTAGACAGCACTGAATTGTGTGTCGGGTTTTTGAACAATGAAACACAGAAGGTTGACGTGGATTTGAACTGCGACTGGTCAAATGGCACAATGATTGACACTTGGTCGATCACACACACAGCTAAAAATACGGGCTATGAATGGGAAACTTTTCTGCGTAAACAACGAACTTAGAATTAACCTTTACTGGTCGGAGGGTGGCTGAGGTAGCGGGCATAAATGAGTCACTAAGGAAGGTGGAAGAGCCACCTACGCCCACTGAGGAGAATTAGTTGGAGATGATAATAAGAGGAAGTGGAACTTATGCAAATCACAACATGAGATAGGTCAGGACTTAGATCGAAGCGATCACTTCATCGATCAGCTGCGGTATTGGACGTCTTGGACGACCGGGGAGGGTGTAGGGCGATAATTGTTGCCGTGGACCAGGATAGACCCTGAAGACGACAGAATCACCACTTAATTGCTGTTGTTCCTAGGTCCACCTTGACTGTAAGGAGACTGTTCAGCATTCACTGTCATATGAGAAGACCGATATTACATAATAGTTCAGTACTCTATTCTTTGTTTCTAAAGAATTTTCCTTTGCTCAACTTTTGGAAGGCATTTTCACTATCACAATATGCCTTTGAATTTCAGTGTCGTACATTCCGTCCTGTGTTAAAACATTTCTCAGATATTTAAATTTTGGTACGGGTTTGATTTTTGTATATCAGATTTGTAATTTGCATGTTGGACTGTTCCCTTTGCTGACAACCATGCATTCTGTCTTCTTACAATTGATGCTTAGTCCTTTCTTCTCGCTTTCCTTCGCTGCCTTCTTGAGTTCTTGTAGTCTCCTTTCCATATCTGCTATCAACACTGTGTCATCTGCAAATCTTATGTTGTTAAGGACTAGTAGGACTAATTCTCTCAGAATCACCTCACTGTAAAGGTTGAATAAGTCCGCTGAGAAGTTACAGCCTAAAATGTACAGCGTACCCTGAGGATAAGAGAAATAATGAGCGAATAACAAGTTTGACTAAATGGATGACAAGAAGTACCACAAATAAGAAGGGAATTAAATTAATTAATTAATTAATTAAAGAATTAAGAATGCTTTCGATAAATAAACGACAGGGTATTGTAGAGAATGATGAACGACTACATTTTCAGAGAGAAAGGGAGCGAGAGAGAGCGCAAGTGGGGGAGATGAGGAGGAGCGAAAAAGAGGGAGCGAGAAAGAGTGGGAGAAAGGGAGGGGAACGAGGAGGAGGGGGGAGAAAGATGGAAAGAAGGGAGGCAGAGGGGAAGGAGGGAACAAGAGGGGAGGCAGGGAGCAAGAGGAGAGGCAGGGAACAAGAGGAGGAGATGAAGAAGAGCGAGAAAGAGGAAGCGGAAAAGAAGGGAGGAGGAGGGGAGGGAGGGAGCAAGAGGGGAGGCAGGGAACAAGAGGGGAGTCAGAAAGAAAGAGGAGGAGATGAGAGGAGCGAGAGAGAGAAAATGTGGGGGAGAGGGATGAAGAGGATCAAGTGGGAGGTGAGAGAGGTAGAAAGAAACGGGGAAGAGAAGGAGCGTGAGGAAGGAGTATATACGCAAACAGATAAACGATGCACACATATGTATAATTTAAGATGAGATCCTACACCGGTGAATCAATAGACTCTCAATAATATCAGTGGAGGAAAAAAAGATCAAGAAAATAAACAGAAAGGAAAAGAGAGTAAGAAAAATGTATTTATTCAAGGTGGTCTGACCTTATTTCCTCCATGTCTACTTAACCAAATGTCCTTACAAATATTAAGAGCCGTGACACATTACAAAGGATATTCGAGTCATAAGAAAAAGTGTTATGGGCATATATTTCAGTAGTTGCCTTTTAAGCAATTTATATATATATATATATATATATACATTTACACATATATATATGTGTGTGTGTATATATATATACACGCACACACACATTTACACACCCTCTACCTCTGATAGTGAGCACTCTATCCCATAAATATAGCACGCGTTAAGACTATATTTCTTCATATATATATATATATATATATATATATATATAATAAAATGAAGTAAAATATCGTATACTACTGTACACTACCATGGTTTCGAACGCTATATCTCATCAGGTGGCTGGGATAATTTGGCGATAGACAGTGCGTGTGTTTTTTGAATGGGAGAGCAGAAATATTGTCTAAATGTCGACATGTAAGCAAGAATGTTCTCAGCCTGAACGACCCTAATGAAAAAAAAATTACTTTTTTTTCGCTCACACCTCTTCCCCTTCTTGATTTCCGTTGCCGCAGCATGATAATAGTAGGGTGAGGTGGTTTGAGAGACACTTGTTACTCACCCATCTGATGAGGTCTTGATTTGAGTATTTATTTTTTAGTATGTTAACTATCTCTCGACTCGTTAGTTGTTCTCAAGTAATCTTTTAATCATCTAAGAGAACCATTTTTTTGTATGGCTGAAGTTAACCTCCAGGAGGTTGACTCATTGCACCTCTTTGGTCAAACGTTTGCTATTTACATGCAGTGGAAAGATTACATTGAATCAATTGCTAGGTTTGCTGCTAAAAAAAAACAAAAAAACTGGTTCACTGTGTCGTGCTAGACATTTTCCCTGCCTAAACCTATCTTACATATTTATAAATCTACCATGCGCCCATACTTTGAATATTCGAATGTATTGAGTCATTTCTCCCGCCACCTTAACGTAGCTTCTGTGTACCATTTCTAAAAATACTTTCACGGTAATTATTCTGATGAACCTTCCTCTATGGTACCTAGACTTTATGTATTTAAGCGCAGTACTACATTGGCGGTTAGGTCTCATTATTTTATATTTGAAATGGTTTAATAGTGCTTTTCCTCATGTTATCTCACACTCAGTAACTCTCCCGCCCTTGCGTTTAGTGGTTTTCTTGCCTTGCTTGGGATGAAAAGAAAAAGTAATCCCTTTACATAGTCGCTGTCAGCTCTTTATACTAAAGTTTACCCAATACAAAGCTTGAGAGTTAGTCGAGGTAACAGTAGACAAGATGATAATGTTGAATAAGATGTGTGAAATAAATACAAGAGTGGATGGTAAGAAGTTAATATTATGATGATAAGGAGGAAAATGTTTATTAACCTTTGATTTGAATAGGTCAAGATTGAAGTGTTCAAGAAAGCAACCACACAGGAGTCTGTTCCAGCAAATGGCAGTTCTAGAAAAAACTGTCTGTGTAGAAATTTCTGCTTACTTCTGGAACGCAAAGGAAATGAGAATGATTCATCTCCATGGAAGTGGTATGGTCTGTCCTAGCTGTAAAGGTCTGAACGGATGGAACGGAGGAATGGAGATCATCTGAACATTTGCCATGGAAATAGCGTTAGTGTAGCATCAGGGTTGCAAGTTTGCATCTGCGGGAAAGAGGCAGCTGACTGAAAAATATAGAAAAATCTACACATTCAGTTAAAAATCAAAATAAAAAATATCGTTGATAATGGCTAATAGAATAGCCGAAAGCGCTTGGATATGCAGAACATTCGGAATGTTTTACCACATTTTATATTCAGAAAAGAAATCACTTATACAAACACAAGAAAAACTGAATAAAATATTTAAACGCGGAACCTTATCAGTTGCGCTTTAATAAAACTTGTAGATAGATAGATAGATAGATAGATAGATAGATAGATAAAATTTGAAGTTTGAATCAGATTATTCTCTGATTTTTGGGAAATATTTTAAAACAGGGTATGGAGATATTTTACTTTCATTTCGGAAAAAAGTATCCGTTTTTGTGCTACCTATAGAACACAAACTAGACAGGTGTTGATAACAATTGTTTGCAAAGGGTATTTGATATGTCGGCAATATTTATTCTTTGAAAATCAGCGTAATTGAACGTTTTTTGTTTTAATTTTGATCGCAACATAAAGTTTATTTATATCTTGATTTTATTGTTTTTTTATAACGTTTTCTCTCTTAACTCTTAATAAAAGATAATATCTTTTTTATTTTCATAGTTTACCAATATATAGAAATAATACCTCATGTAGTTTGCGGCCATTTTCTACTGGCCAGAGTGAGAGCCTATAGCTGGCTGCCACGAATAGGCAGGAAGATTCTATTGGCCAGCGTGAGAGCCAACAGCTGACTGACACGAATGTTAACTAGCATGCAACAAATTTTAATCTGCACGGCACTTTACTCCAATTAGCTCATTCGCTTGCTTAAACTCAACGTTGATTCTGATTTCGCAGAACTGGGTTGGGTGTGAAAAAGTATTTGTTGCTAACATTCTTTTTTCATTCGGTTTTTCCAGTTACGAGTCTTTTTTTAAAGCTGATCGTTTTGTGTTCATTTTGTTTAGTTCTTTTTTCGTAATAGATTCAATGTTTAGTATAGAGCTTAGAAAAATTCGCAGTGTGAGATAGGCAAGAAGTAGCAACATCAGCACGGCAAAGGGCACTCCTTTAAAGGCAAGGAAGGGCAAAAATATTTTAAGTCAAGTGATAGCGATTACTGTATGAGTCGTACGATTTTTGAATCAAGCCCGGGCAACGCCGGGTCATGCTGCTAGTCAATATATAGAAATAATACCTCAACCAATTTAGAAACATTCTGTTTCATGAATTCCTGCCGAGTGTAAAGCAGAAAAAGAATTCTTCAGATAAGACCGTTTTCCAGTTTTTACGGTATTTTTACTAGGAAATTCAGTATTTGTTTTCAATACATATTCTTATTTTAAGACATTTTTACGTTTATACATTCTTTTTTATAGATACAAATATTTAAGTAAATGTTCTGTTTATAATAAGCAGTATTAACATTTACCGGCCTGAATGTCCGAGAAATTGTCATAGAAAATATGCGTCCTCACCAAATTTTATGTGATAATAAAGTACATTTAAAAATTTTAAAAACACAGAAAGAGCGTTAAAGGGAGATAACCGTGGATCCGAAGTCAGAACATTACCATTGATAAATCTCTCCTCCAATTTACGGACCCTAGTTACTATATTCTTAGTACTTGATATAATGCAAAAATATCACAATGATAAAATCGGTCAATAATTATTTAGAACTATTTATACTGGGACTCATGCATACAATTACAAATAATCCATAATAATATTTAAAATTTTGAAATCATAATTATGTTTGATATATTAATTTTTTAAACTGTTTTTAAATCTTTGATTGTTTTTCAATCATTCCACCTCACCTGCTATCCTCTTCCGCTGTACTTATGAGGTGCGTCGCACCGTTTCGGTACAACTGCCCTAAGCAGACGATTGCTGTTTGGTTTTACTTTGGGGGGGTTCTTGTTTTTTTTTTTTTTTTTTGTTTTATGATCACTAAGCTTCGAAAATGATTATACTAATATTGGTATAAATTGTCACCATTGTTTATCTATTTACCAAAAGAACCTATTTGAATATGACAAAATATTATAGATAGCTTAGATACACATATTGAAATTAATAATTAGTTCATAGTAATTAACTACGTTTAAGGGGAATGTCTTCCCCTTCTGAAAAATTAAGTTTTATTCGTGAAATCAATATAAGAATTGTTAAAACTATTAAATTTATTTCAGTGGCATCATATTAATAATTTTAATATGTTGAAAGGTGCGTCGTTTTTTTCTGTTGTTCTGTGTATCAGGGACTTCATTTTTTTTTTTTTTGCACAAATTACCAACACATTTACATTTATTAATTCATTATTGACTTTGATTTAAGTAACATTGTATAATGCGAGCAATAATGATTATTACATTAACTTTTATTGCAAATACAAATTAAAGTATGTGTAATTTATATATAAAATTATATGGCTTCCGTTAGTCCGTCTATCTGTCTGTCCGTTGCACCCTCTAAAAAAGTCATACATTGACCAATTGAAACCAAATTTTGGGGAGAAGTGCAAACAGCTGAGGGAGTACAAAGTACAATTGGTTTTACTCGGGTGCGTAGCTTAGTACAATAAATTTTCATTAATTTTTTTAAACTAAAAGTTTTATTATTTAACATACAAAATACTCCCACTATTTTAAAAGCAATTTAATGATTAAAATAACAAATACTTATTTAATAAAAATGTAATATTGTTTCTTGTATATCTTTTCTTAGTTTTTATTGGTCTGCGAAATTGAACGAAACGTAGACTATGTACAAATTTTTGAACTGATCCATTCTTTCCTATCCAAATTTTTGAACTGATCCATTCTTTCCTATCCAAATTTTTGAACTAAAATTAATTCTGGACGGCTACTCTTCCAGTTCCGTTTGTACTAATGCAGGTGTCCCTCAGGGCGTCATCCTTGGTACTATTTTGATTTTAATTTTCATTAATGACCTTCCCGATAGCATCGTATCTCAACATGGTATCTACGTTAATGGCACAACCATTTACACCTGTTTCCATAGTAAGTTTGGTTTGGTTTGGTTGGTTTGGTTTGGTTTGTTTAACGGCATATCAACACCTCAATGGGTTATTTAATGCCGACAAAATTTCTATTGCTAGTAATATTTTTTCAAAAATATATTGTTGGTAATATTTTTTTTCAAAAATGTATTGCTGGTAACTTTTTTTTTTAATTTATTGCTGGT